GGAGGGGGAGGGTGCGGAGCAGGAGGCTCCCTCCCAGCTGTTAGTAAACAGCGTCCTGGCGACCGGCTGGGCTCAGGCTGGCCTGTCTGCAGCGGACCCGGGGACAGATGGAGCGGAGTCCTGCCAAAGCAGCCCTGCTTTCCGCAGAGGTGTGCACAGGAGAATTTGCTCTGGGGGGCCCTGGCGCCCGGGGCAGAAAATAAACCAGGCGAGGGGGCCCGGGGGTAGCAACGAGATCCCCTGAGTTAGCTCCTCGCCCTATCTTTCCCCTTCCCCCTCCCTCATCCCACCGACTTATTTTTCTAACTTCATGAGAGATTAAAAAAAAAAAAAATGTTGACCGGGCACACACACGGGTACAAAGCCTGCAGAACGTGCCCCACCTCCAGCACGTCGCCGATTTCACCCCCAGAGAAACCCTCCGGTGGATGCAGCCCTTCCCGCCCGACGGGGGACGCGACTGAGCCCCGCGGGGCACGTTCCTGAGACAGCTCTGCTGGTGCCCTCGGTGACCTACCCAAAGCCCCCGCCTGCGAGACGCAGGCCGCAGCCTCCCCCGGTCAGTGGGACGCACGCCGGGCCCCTGGCCACCCACAGCCCCCTCGCTTCGAGCCCTTTCCTGAGTGTCCACCTGTCCTGCCTCCCTCTCTCCTTAGCCCCGACCAGCAGACCGTCGTCCCCACTGCACCGCCCCAAACTCCCTGAATTAAGTGTCCTTTACGTACAGGGGGACGCTTACAGCGTGCGGGCAAGAACGACTGGGGTCCCCGCGACCTCGCCAAAGAAACGGCCGGTCGCTTTCTCGGGCCCTGGGTGGAGGCAGCTTTCACACCCCAGGGAGCCTCCGCCACGTGTCTAAGCCTCGCTGGGCACCTGCTTCTGCCTCCCGGGGCAACGGAACAGGCCCCACCACCTCTTCTGCCCTCTCCGCAGGCCTCCAGGGCTATTTTGGGCATGTACCAGTCAGGGTTAATCCCCTTAATCAAGGGCTGTGCTGCCCAGTGCCCTGCAGACAGGGCCCAGCCCCCTGCAAAGGGCAGCCTGAGGGTTAGGGCTGGGGCCTAGGGGGGCCTCCCCGCATCCCCCATCCCTGCGCAGATTCCTGGACACTGGACCGTGACCTGGGGCAGGTGGGGAGGCGGAGGCGGTGCTGAAGCTGTGCAGGCCGGAGAGCGCAGGGACGGTCAGGAGGCTGGGCCCGTGGGTGCTTCTGTGAGCTCGAGGTCACCCCCAGGGAGAACCTGAAAGAGCCCCCCCGCCCCCGCCCCGCTGCCCTGCTCCAGGCTGAAGAGGTGCCAGTCCCCAGCCCTGCTGGCAGGGGGAGGCCCGGGAGGCGGGCTGTGGGCTTTCTCTCCCACTAGGGAAGGAAACAGGACACACGAGCTGACCCACTGGGGATCCGGTTCCTGAAACCTGAGCCAGGGACAGGGTTTCACGGCACCGCGGGCTGCACACCTGCCCCAGGGGTTTGTCTTCTACCTGAGAGCTCTGCCCCTTTAACGGGAGGGAGGGAGGCCAGGGGTCCGCTCTGCCAAGCCCCACCCCGCCTCACCTTGACCCCCTGCTAACATCCGCCCCACAAGCGCAGGTCCGGGAAGAAAACCGAGGTGACGACAAGGTGCTGAGGTGCCTTCGGGACAGGGCGGTCCAGCCCCAGCCCCAGCCCCAGCCCCAGCCCCAGCCCCGTGGAGGTGGAGGCTCCCATAGGGTGCTGGTCCTGACCCACCCGGAGGGTCAGGTTAGGGAATCAGATTAGGGAATTTGTTTTAAAGCACATTCCCTAATCCCATCAGTTCTCCACGTATTCTTGCCTAAAAGATAAGGGTCCTTCTCAAGGTAGCATTACCCCACCTACGAGGAATTAACCAAAATTCCTTAATATCCTCGGATATCTGGGCAGGACTCGCTTTCCCTAAGTCACACCTGGTGTTAGTTAGTAGTGTTAATCCCCAAGGCACACCTGGGTTTAATAGGTTTCATCCCTAATCCACACCCAGGGCTAACAGTTTTAATTTCTAATGCACACCGGGGTTAACGGTTCAGCTCCTAGTCGGGGGGGACAGGGACCAGCCTGTCACAGCCACTGCTCCTACGGCAAGACTCGGAGGTGCAGCCCCGCAGGGCTGGCTCCGTAGGTGCCCCGCGAGCCCACGTCGAGGACAGGCTCTGGGCAGGGCGCGTGGCGGGGACGGGAGGACCAGCCCTCAGCCAGGCAGGAGCTTTCACGCTGTGACCTCGGGGCTCTCATTCGACCTCCCTGCGCCCCCGTTTCTCCATCTGTATAATGGGGACAAGACTGTCTATTTCCCAAGATCTGTGAGGCTTAAACAGAATAACGGGTGAGCGTGCTGGGCACAGGGCAGGGTCTCTGTAAATGCCCCTCGAGTCGACGGAGGGGCCTCGCTGCTCCTTACCTGGGGTCCAGGCCCCAGCGGCGAGAGCCTCAGGCCCCTGCCGCTCTGTCTGTGAGGTCGGGCCCCCCGCCCTGCCCCAGCCCCCTGGGTCTGCGTGTTTAGTGTTTACTCTGGAGACTCACGGGGGGAGGGCCCCCTGGGGTCTGCTTTTCGCTCCCCCAGCTTCTGGGTCTCCACTCCAGTGAGTTAGTGGTCCCACCGCTGCGGCTTCTCAGTGCCGACCACACGCCCGCTGTGGGCCCGTATGTCACATCCTTGCCCTTGACCCTTGACCCCTTTAGTTTCCACGACAACCCCAGGTCCTCTCCCTCCCTTCCCTCGCCCCCTTTTCCCCACTCTCCCCGCCCCCCCACGCTCGAGGAGCCAGGGCTGTGGCCAGTGTCGGCCGGCCTCACGCCCAGACAGACGCTTCACATGAAGACACCGCCCTTCTCATTTCCTCCGTGAGGACACGCCTGTCACCTGAAGCCCTGGGCCTTGGTTTCCACGGGAGTAAAACTAAGGACAAGAAAGGAGGCCTCCGAACTTTTCTCTCCAGGGCTCCCAAGTCGTGGACAGTGTGTGAAGGCCGGGCCGGCAGGTGTGAGGGGAGAACCCGGGCGAGACTCGGAGCCGACCGGCTTCCTGCTACCAGGTCTCCACCAGGACGGGGGGCCAGGTCCCTCCCAGGTGGAGCGACTCTGGTTTGTCCCAGAAAAGCTCACAAAGGAGCCCACGGTGGGAAACTGATGACCAGGGGGGCAGGCTTGGCTCCCTTCCCGAGCCCTCGCCCGCCCCTCCTGGGCGGAGGCTGCTGGGAACCACCGTCCCAGCCCAGCAAAGGGGCCTGGCCTGTGGTCGAGATGCTGACTGCGGGAGGCAGGAGGGCTGCCCCCTCGAGAGGCTCCTCCAGAAGGAGCAGCCCCCACCCGGGGGTGACGCTGAAGCCACCCCCCCCTCGCTCCGGCTCCCAGGGCCGTGGGGAGCCCACCGGCCCCCAGCCTCCTCCCGCGGGCCCAAAAATGACCGTTCCCTGCAGGGAGCACTTAGTGCTCCCTTCCCGGCGGGCGCATCGCTGTCCTTCCTCCCGCTCGAGTCC